GGTCGGTGCCCTGCCTGAACAGTCAGGTTTTGCACGTGGCAAGAAACACTGGCACACCAGTTGGAATGGTTTGTATACGTCACTAAAAAGTTTACTTCTGAAGGAGTTCTCCACCTTCAAACCAGAGCACTGGGGCCCTTGCCCAGGATCACACGACCAGCAGAGGGGCCGACGGGTTTGAGGCGGTCTCTCGGTGTGGCGGGCCGTTCTTGGTCCCTGTCTGCCGCCCAGGCCCCTCCCGGCCGCGGCAGGAGCTCTGTGAGAAGCCCTGTGGCTGGCGTCGGCCTGCGTGCCCTGAGGGAGGGCAGTGGCCAGGCCCAGGGTAGTGCCCACCTTTGTAGACAAAGGTGACAGACCAGCAGCCACCGATTTAGTGCCAGCTCTGTCGGGAATGCAGAGAGAAACAGCGTATTGTAAACTGAGCTTCCCCGACTGTGTACATTCCTTTCATTCAGCAACTTCCATGCCGCGGGGCGCCTCTCTGTTGACTCTCTCCTGCCTTGGGAACGCCTCGGCGATCCAAGGGGTGTGACCACCTGTGGCCTGGGAGGAGGGACTGGACAGAATAAGACGGAGCCCCCCCTCACCCCGCAATCTGTCCAGAGCCTCTCGGCCAACTCTCTCCTGGTGCCCAAAGTCCTGAGCATCCAGGTCGGGCTGTTGGCATCCCAGTCTTGGTTCCTACCCCTAAGGGAGCGCTCAGCCCAAACCCGCCAACGGTTCCGCTTGCTGATGCCACCAGCCCACCTGACTCGCCCAGCGGTGGTCTTGCCTGCGTCTCCGTGCTGCAAACCCTGGCTGCCCACAATGTGTGGCATGTGGTTCGAAGGGCAGTACTGACCAGATGTCCTGCTCTGGCTCACAGCCAAGCCGGGGTGCGGCTCTCACCACCCCTCGTGCACCCTAGCCTGTGCCAGGTGGTCTGTCCTGGGTGGTCCTGTGGGTAGAACTCCTCACCCCCAGGTACCTGCCTGCGTCCATTAGTGTCTTCACCGACAAGAGGCTTAAAAGTCGTGGCCGCTGGCAGGTCACCTCACAGCACTGTGACCTGTAAACGCCTCCTCCACGGGCAGCTCTGCCTGTTCCTGGGGGTCTGACAGGCCCCGAGGGCTCTGCCCACCTCAGCGGGGGGCAGGGGCCTAGGGGGAGGGGTCCCGCCGGGCACCCCTGTTCTGTCTCGTTTACCAAGACCCCGGTGTTGTCGTCTTTGTCATTGTGCCTGTGCCAGCCAGACTGGCCAGTGGGGTGTCTGCTGATAGCATTTCAACAGTGAGGTTCCACAGAAGAAGCGAAAGGGGAGAGACTTCTCATAACGCGATCGTTGTGAACTCTAAGGCGGGACCGTTTGGCTGTGCCCTGGACTTGTATCTAATGATTAGAATAAAGGTGCAGGTAAACGCTTTCTCAGTAAAGCGGACGATGGGACACGTTTTCTCAGCCAGCGGCGGGCACGGCAGCACACAGCCATGTGCTGAATGGTCACGCTGCGCGTCTTTAAAATTCCTGATGGATTTGAAGGTATTAACAAGTCCCTATCAGCATTCTCTAAAGGTTTTTGATGTCATTTTAGCTATTGGACTGAAATATGTGAACTATTACTTTGTTGATTTTCTTCTTAAACCCGGCTGCTTTACCATCTGAGCGTGTGTTCTTAAGGTATTGTTAAAAGTGCTTTGAAAACTTGTAAATCCCTGTAATTTATGTTTCTCCTGCCTCTGCCGTGGCGTGCTTTCCCTCTGGTTTTAATCTGAAGGCAGTCCTGTCTGGGGGTGTACCTGTAAAACGGTGTCTCTCCAAGTACAATTTACGGTCCTGGCCTCGGCGTTACCGTGTCCCTGCCCTTCTCTGAGAACTGTCCACCGAGGTTACTTGAAACAGACCTGGTGTGGACATTTCTGAGTTTATCGTGACGGCCCCGGGGGTGAGTGAGGAGGCTCCCTACAAGCCCATTAACTGCATGTGCACAGCCGGCAGCCCCGCCTGCTGCACGGCCACGGCCGCGTTTCTCTAAACAATTCTCCTCTTCGTCTCCGCTGCACCTATGGAAACAGATAAGGAGGACGGGTGGGAGGAGGGACCTTGGGAGCCTGGGCCGAAGCTGCTCGTTCCCCTACAATCCCCTCTTCTTCCAGGGCTGGGCTGCACACGGAATAGACTTACCTGCGTTCATGTGTTCTGTGAGCGGATCAGGGACTGCAGTGGGCAGGGCTGCCAGAGGGCGTCTGCCTGGGGAGGGGGCTGTGTGCGGGTCTAAGGGAATTGGCTGTTCTGCTTTTGCCGGGGAGGGGAGGGTGGGCGGGTGTGCGTGGTTATAGCTGCGTGTCCTGGTCCACGGCTGCTGGACCGTCATCACGATTCTAGTAACGTCAATGGCTGCAGAACTTCTGGAATCCTTTCCTCGAGTTAGGAGGTGGGTTCTTGTCTGCTCCTTTCCTGTGTCACTTAAATTCAGGTCAGTGAGGAGTGGGAGTCTTTTGCTCCTTCCGCGTGTCCTCGGGGTTCTTCCGGCACTTGCCCATGGAAAGGGGGCGGGCCGCCGGCGGCTGGCAGTTGACCGGGTTGCTCCTCTGTCCCAGGTCATCGTGCAGTCCGGCCGCCACCCCACGGTGCTGCAGCAGCTGTGCCAGCTGCCCTTCCGGTACTTCAGCGACCCCCGGCTGGTCAAGGTGCTGTTCCCGTCGCTCATCGCCGCTTGTTACAACAACGGCCAGAACAAGGTGATCCTGGAGCAGGAGATGAGCTGCGTCCTGCTGGCTGCCTTCATCCAGGTACCCCGTGCGGCCGGCCTTGGCTGTCCGCTGTGCGCTGTCCGCCGTCCGCTGTCTGGGGGGGGCAGGTGCCAGCCGCCCGCCTTCTAGGGCGCTCGCCTGCCTCTGTGCTTGGAAATGATTCGCAAGATGTCGGGTGGTGAGAGGGGGGTTGAGTTTGTGTAGTTTCTACTGGAGGATTTCAAGGAAAGGGCAAGTGATGCAACGGTAAGCCCACACCACGATGTTTCCGAAGGACGGCCAGGCTTCGCGAAGGCTTTAACGTCCATTCATCTCACATTTAGTCTGGCTGTGAGGGACAGGGAATGATTGCTGAGGGAAGATCATTAGGACTTCAGTGTATTGGTAAATGTTTAAATAAATACTCTTCATACACACACACACACACACACACACACATCTGTGTGTATAACAAAAACCTGTTATATTGCCTTTAGAAAAATCGACAACGTTTAAGAACGGCCCCCTGTGTTTCTGGTTGAGTGAGTCTGTAATCGCTGCCGTACTAAGCAAAGCAGTGTTTCCACATCGACACTAACTCGGTCGCTGGCAGGACAACAGCCCAGTTGGCTGTTCTTTAATGTGTGTTCCTAGCGAACTGGTGGTTTTCTCCTGTCGTCGTCGATCATTATTTCCTGAAAACATTCCATTTTCTTTCAAATATAACACAGCTGGGTCAATTATGTTTAGAAATCCTTTATTTTCAGCTTAGGTGTTTTGTTTGAGCCTGGGTTTCATTTTCTGAAAAAGTTTTCAAAGATATTCAAATCTACAGGTCAGGTACAAATTTCATGAAGTGTCATATGGTTAAATCAAAGTCTTAATAAAGTCTTCTGTAACCATCATAGCAAGAGTTAGGATTTGAATTCAATAGAAATTACATTTAAGACAGTGATCTTAGACGCAGATGGTTCCTCCTTTTCCTTCTTCCATTCGGTACTTTGTGGTCCCTCCAGGTCACACCCTGCTCTGGGCACTGGCATCGCAGCCAGGAATGAAACAGAAAACCTGCCCCATAGACTTTCCGTTCAGGCGGGGAGTCAGACAGAAAACAGACAGCTTGTCCACTAGCGTGAATGCTGAGGAGGAGAGTGGGGCAGGAGGGGTTGGGCTGCCAGGGCCGTGGGTGCAGCTTTGGCCCGAACAACACAGTGATGGCTGAGCAAAGAGCAAATTTGTGTCTGTCTCACCTTAGTCCGTTACATCTCCAGCTGCTTGGGAAACAATTTGTAAAGGCACAAATGATATCAGAATCTAAAGTAGTAAACATATATGTGTGTGTGTATATGTGTGTATGTGTATGTGTATGTGTGTATGTATATATACACATATATACAGATATATACATAACTTGTTTTCATCTGGTGTTCATCTCAAACTAGTTCTAAATCTGCTCTATTACATTCAACACACATTCAAATGTAAGTGAATATAAATTTAACACATTTCACATATACTTTAACACAAATTCTGTAAATGCTACACAAATATCTTACAATGCGTATTTGAGGTAAAATGTTGGACTTAAATCAAGTAATTTTTTTTCTATAAATAATTGTGAAGGGAATTAATATATATTAGATTTTAGCTTATCAAATGGTTCTGCAAGGTCCCTGTGTTTGAGATAAATAATAATCACTAGAAAATGATATTAAAGGTAGGAGCTGGTAGTTTCTGAAATTTTGTATATTCTTCATTTTCCATGTGAAAGTAAATTAGCAGACTTTAAAATTTAGCTGCAGAATACATAAGAGCTTTAATAGTTGTGTTTTAAAAACATGTTAATAATCTGTTTAAGACAGTAAATGTGACTGAAGCGTTCAGTTTGTTGGATATAAAGTCAAATTGTCGTTTCCGCAGTAGCAGCAACCTAGCCCTGTGACAGTCGAGCGGAATCTGAGAGTCATCGCTGTTTAACTTAAAGTTTCAGGAACATGAAAGGCATAGCATCAGTCTCTTCAGCTTTGATATTTGGGCTCCAAAATATTCGTGCAAAAATCGTCTCTGAATCCAGCAGCTTTAAAGCCGCGCTCAGTGAGGTTCTCTGCTTGTGGGTTTGGTATAAAAACGCTCTTCTCATCTTGACAGGACTTTGCACAGAATCACGGTCAGGCAGCTCACCAGCCGTACCAGCCCAAAGGTATGTCTCTTAAGATTGAATGTCGTGTTTGTTAGTGAATGGACATGTTTCTTACTTCACCTTTCGGGACCCTTGGAGAAATCATTGCTTACTTTGCCTAAAATATTTGAGATTCAGATACCAAGCGTATTTCAGTCAATAAAAAATCAATGTTGTCATCAGCATGAATGTGTCAGAACATACAGAGCCCTGGCCGTGTGGCTCGGTTGGGTGGCGCCATCCCGTGTGCCAGAAGGTGGCCGGCTCCTTCCCGACAGGGCACAGACCCAGGTGCAGGTTGGATCCCCAGTCAGAGCAGATGCAGGGGGCAGCCTGTCAATGTTTCTCTCTCTCCCTCCTTTTTCCAATCTCTCTAAAACTCAATAAAAAAATAAAATAAAAAGAATATACAGAAAGAAAAGCACAAAAATATCTTTGTGAAATTTATACCCATCTCATGCAAGAGAGAATAAATGGTGAATAATTAGTAAATTAGTAATACAGGAGACAATCGGATCATTAATATTGGCCTATGTTACTCACATAAATACTGAAATCACGTAGGTTTGGTCCCCTATACACGTTCAGAATAAAATTATTAGTGACAGTAACCCATATTGGCCCTAAATTCAAGTACTTGACTTTTTTTAGTTGAAATAAGAAATGTAAAATTGTTCTCCATGGAGAAAAGACCATCAGATTACAAGGGTTTTTCCCTGTCGTTTCCCTGCTGAGGAGTTTCCCGAGATCGAACTGGAGATGTCGAGTTTGAAAGAGCATCTTTACTGTTTACAACATTCTGCCTCCTAGACAGTAACTGAGGCGTGCGGGTGGCTCTGACTGAGACCCTAGTTCTCCCGTTAGTCTGATAGCCTTTAAAGTGGCCAGTCAGGGGCCCCTCCAGCAGGACGCCTGGGGCACCCACTGAGCAGTCCTTACTGGGGGGCAGGCGGCAGTGGGGGGTCATCTTGGATTGTTACACACACACACACACACACACACACACACACACACTGGGCGAGTGTTGAAAAGTACAAAGATAAAAATATAAGCTTGTAACAATATCATGAAAAACGTCATGTTTTAGTGACTCGGATGAGTCAACAGAAAGCTGTGCCCCTTTTAGAAGTTAAAGGCAGCCTCGCAGTCGGTCCCATCTGTCTAAGCGAGGCCTGCAGTTCGGTCCCGCCCTGCCTCAGCCGCAGCCTGAAGAGGAAAGCTCTGGGGGCTCCTGGGGAACGTCAGCGTCGATAGTTACTGTTTCCGACGAGAGAACGTTTAAGTCTGTGAAGATGTGAAAACGCCACAGGAATCCGGGGCCTGCCCTGGTGCCTGGACAGCAGCTTCTCTGCAGTGAGCAGTGCAGAGGCCCCTCCTGACCGGATGAGTCACCGTTGGGCGTGTCTGCCTGCCTGGAGGGCTGAGGCTGTGGACTCTCCACCTCTTCCTTCCCCGGACCTCTTCTCGGACTCGCACGCTGTCCCCCCTCGGTGCTTTAACCCGCACGACCGTGAGCAAACGAGACCGTCTGGGCCTTGGTCAGTCACCACGCTCCGTGGTGACACCCCGCCAAGGTGTCCCTGGAGACCTGTTCCCTTCAGGGGAGCTCTCCGTTGTCCCCGGAAAACATTTCAGGTCATTGGAGCTGGATGCCCATGTGCACCCCTAAGTGTGAGCAGCCCTGCAGCACACGCCTGGGCCAGGGCTCGCTGCTCGGCGCCCCCTGTGCGAGTGGCTGCTGTTCTTACACCCCTAACCGTCCCCACGGTTACCTAGGTGACCATCACTCAAAGTGTTCAGCCAAATGGACGGTTTTAGAAAATATGTCAAGTTTACATACATATTTACCCTTCCAAGTCTAATTTAAGGACAGATGATGATTGTCGTTTTATTTTGTTACTATACTTATTTTACCCTATTTTCCTAGTCTGGAATCCAAAAGAAATTTTTTCACAATGTTTTACATAGGGGTTAATGTCTAAATACATTAGAAGCATAAAATAGATTGTGACTCAAATATATTGTATATTTTATACTATAGGTAGATCAATTACCTTGTTTGCATAAATTGTGTCATAGTTTATCTGAAGTTTATGTCTCCATTTTGTACTCAGATATCAAAATAATTTTAATTTCTTAAACTTCATAGAATTTAACTTTTACATTTCATTCTTTTCCATTTTTCTCTCAGGAAAATGCCTTGGATCCCAAGACTACCTTGAGCTGGCTAACAGATTTCCTCAGCAGGCCTGGGAGGAAGCTCGACAGTTTTTCTTAAAAAAATAAAAGTAAAGAATGTTTTGGTTGGTTCTATATTTGAGTACCCTCATTAGTAATATAAATTGTTCAAACGTTCTAACTGTTCCTTAAGAAACCCTTTCTCACATGTTTATACCCCCCCATGTAGATATGGTACATACTGTGAACTATTTATAATGGCTGTAGACACGTCATGTTGTACTTGCTAACTGTAAGGTGAGTTTATTTCATTTATGCACAACAGTTTGCATTTTGGTAACTTCCATCTGATAATATATCCTTTGCATTTGTAATATGGGTGAAATTAGGCACAGAATTAGCCAGTCTGTTTACTTCTTGTAATAAAATAACTTATTCTGTTTGTCATGGTGACTTTTCTTAAGACAATTCAGATTGGAAAGGAAATGCTCCCTCCGGCCCTTGAAGCATCTTAGTCAAGCCTCGCAGGTCACCCGCCCGACCCGCCCTCCTGCGGGGACTGGCGTGCATTCCGGGGCCACCAGGGTGAG